TTGGGGGAGGAGGGGGGAGGGGGGTTAAATGGCTATTTTAGAAAGCCCAAACGGCTATGTTTTAAATATTGCAACGGCTAAAAAAAAAATTGGAATTTTTTTTTTCTAAAAATAGTTGTTGGGCCCGGTTAGGACCGGTTGAACCGGCCCACTTAGCACCCGATCCCGGGCCCAAACGGTCCGGTCCTAATGGGCTTCTTCAAGGAACCGGCCCACTTAGCAGGCCCACCTCCCCTGGTCCCGGGCTTAAACATTAGGCCTGTTTAGGCCCACTACCATATGGGCTCGCGGGCCTGGGTCGGGCCTAACCGGCCCACATGCCAGCTTTACTCTGAGCTCATCAAGTGGAATAGTTAATTACGTTTAACAATCTTCAGCAGTTTTAAGGTATAGATGCCATTTGCATGATCCAAGGCCTTCCCTGCAAAAGGCTGTATTGGAAGTCTCGTTCTCGATCACGGAGCAAATTACTTCTGACTTAAGATCTGCAATCTAGCACTTGAGCCGAATCTTGCCCATAGCTTTATGAGACTCATCGTTGTATCATGTTTAAGTTCTATGCATTAATGATGTTGGTGTTAGAAATATTTATTTATAAAATAATACAGGTAAATCTTTGTAATAAATATTAATCGTAACGTGCCTGAGATGCAGGGAGTGAGGACACCATCCCAATAACCATGGAACTACCGAGCATTGTGGCAAAGAGCATAAAGAACTTTGCAAATGTACTGTTTTCTAACATCAACTTCAGTTTTGATGCTCGACATATGCGATTATCTGGCAACTCAAGTTTGAAAGTCGACACATTTCTGTCTTCTGCTTGGAACTAATCCCACCTTAGCATATCGACATATTAAAGAATATATAGCAAATGTTCCTCCTGTCCAGTATTCAATTAAATCATGCGTTAATTAACTCTAACTAGCTTCTTATTTCTACTCACAAAATAGTGTTCGAAAGAAATTTTTACATTCCAGTATAATTTAACCGGTTATGCCATATAATTTTAATTTATCTTTCATGTTATCATCACATTAATTAGCATACTATTGTTGGAATTTGGACTTACGTTAATTGGTTATAGCCTGAAAGGATAGTGACGTGGCCCAAGTGGTGGATAAATAAAAGGCTTAATATTAAATATTATGTGTGTGGATAAGTGAGGCCCAATAACTATTGGTCTGTGATGGGTAGACACTCTTTATAAATAAAGGCCAACCCCATTTCCCTTTCTATTAGAAAACTCTAGCGTATTCTGCCTCTTGAATACGTGGTAACGGTAGACGTCCCATCAGTCAAGTTCTCCGGGCTGTGAAAGCGCGTAGCTAGTGGATTGTGGAAGTTGGTCTCAGGCTTAATCGCCGTTTGCTATCGCTGCTGAATCCATGGAGTTTAACGGTACGCTTCCTTAGACTCTAACTCTAGATTGATTGTGTAATTGTGTCTTAATCTCTGCTATGGCTACGAATTAATTATCTTACGGTTGGTATCAGAGTCACCATAGTTAGGGATTTAGATCAAGAAATAATCTTGAGTTTAAAAGTAAAAACAATCGTTGTGAATTGCGACGATGGCTCGAAATTGTCTTTCTCTGATATTGTTTCATCGCCGAAAGTCGGCGACTGTTGTGAGTGCATTAGAAGCGGCGGTGAAAAAGTGAAAACAAGGAAAATAGATGAAGTGTTCTTCTTCGTTTAAACTAGTTATGCTATTATGTGATTAAAATAGTTAAATCACACAAGTTTTAGCCATTGAAAGCCGACATCGGTGAAAAGCAGTGTGGTGTTTTCTTTTGTCTTGCCAAACTTTTTATCTTTGGCATGTTCTTCTTTATTATTATGATATTTTGATTTGAAGCTTGCTAATTACAAGCACTATTTTATTAGTTATTTCTCTGAGAATGACTGATCCTTAATCAAATATCTCATTAGGCTGCAAAGTCTGACTTTTCGGTTTGGTTATAAAACAATTACCTTTTCAATAGAATTCTGTATTGATGTTTACATGTTGCATAATAGTTATTCCTTAAATTTTGCCGAGTAGTTATTCCTTTTAAGTCAAAGGATGGAATTAAAAGCAGTATAACACTAAACGGGTTTTATTGTATGGTCCCTATTTTGATTTCACATCTATATAATATTATTTGAATAAGAATTTATGATTAATAAATAGTTTCCACCAAAGTGGTCTATTTATTTGGAGTCATTGAAAATACTTAAAATTTTATACATGTAAAATAATATTATACATGGATTGAGAATTATGATTAATAGATAGTTTCCACCAAAGTGGTCTGTTTATTTGAGTCATAGAAATGTTCTCAATGTACCATGTCTAAATTGTCCTTTATAAGTGTACGCTAGTGTTGGAAGTTTACCTTTTAATAAATGATGCTAAATTAATTTATGAGATAAGATATTATATTTCAACCCAAAGGATGAAGCTTAATATCTTGGATTCTCATGTATATATATACAATAAATAAGGATAATTTGATGTAAGAGGAGGTTTTGTGTCTCTTACCTAAAGGAAGGACACAATTTATGCCTTGCGCTCTTGGATAACAGGGAGGAGGTTTTGTATCTCTTGCCTAAAGGTGAGGATGCAATGAATTCCTTGGACTCCTTGATTTTTAAAAGGGGAGACAGTTTCATCTTCTATCCAAAGGAGGGGTGTGATGGATGTCTTTGACTCTTTTGATTTATATATTCCTGCCCATAATTTTATCTAATTTTGTATTGTTTGCTTATACAGTTGTTAATAACATGACTATTCAGTTGAATTCCATTGAAACTCTAAGTAGTAGCAACTACAAGAAGTGGAAACAGAATATTGAAATAGTGTTAGGCCTGATGGACATGGACTTTGCATTGATTGAACAAAAACCCGCTGAACCCACAACTACTAGCTCTGCTGATGAAAAGGCTAAGTATGAGAAATGGATGAAGGCTAACAAATTGGATCTCATGATCATGAAGAGATCCATTTCTGATCACATAAAAGGTGCAATTAAGGATAATGGGAATGCAAAAGATTTTCTGAGTGCCATTGGACAGAAATTCCTAGAATCTGATAAAGCTGAGATAGGTAGCCTGATTAATTCCTTGTCCACCATTAAGTATGACCTTGTAGGTAGTGTCCGTGATCATATAATGAAATTGGTTAACATTGCAACCAAACTGAACAATTTAGGTGTAACCATTACTGATGATTTTCTTGTTCACCAATCTCTAAGGTCTCTTCCTGAGCAGTTTAACCAGCTTAAGACAACCTATAATGCACAAAAGGATAAATGGAGTGTTGATGAGCTTATTACTGTTTCTGTGGTAGAGGAAGGAAGGATCCAAAAGGAGAAAGTTGAGGGTGTAGTGAACTTTGTTAGTTCGTCTAGATCAGCTGACTATCCCTCTTATAAAAGAAAAGGTGGACCCAAATTTCACAAAAAGAAACATGGTCATTCTCATCATCCAGGTGGTAATAGTGGTCATACTAATAAGCATGGTGTTAACCAAGGTCAGTCTCATAATTCTCTTGGTCCTCAAGCTGTAATTAAGAAAGAAATCAAGTGTTGGAATTGCAAACAAGTAGGTCATAAGAAAGCTGGTTGTCCTCTGAAAAAGAAATCAGGTAATCTTTTGGCTTTTGTCTGCTTTGAAACTAGTCTTGTTCATGTTCCTATAAATTCCTGGTGGTTGGATAGTGGTGCAACTGTTCATGTAACCAATGACTTGCAGGATCTAGTAAGCAGACGGAAGCTAAAAGAGGATGAAGCTAGTGTTGTTGTGGGCAATGGACTCAAAGCAAAAGTAGAGTTTATAGGGATATCTATTTTACCTTGTAAGAATAATTCTAGTATTCGTTTAGAAAATACTGTTTTTGTACCGTCTATGAGACGGAAATTAGTTTCGGTTTCCCATTTGGACAAAGCTGGTTATTCATTTCAACAAAATAATGATATTATTAAAATTTCCTATGATTCACGTGTTGTTGTTGATACTTTTTTAAGTGATGGTCTATATCGCTTGAATATATTAAATGAAACTTTTTCTGCAATGCATGTGAAAAATATTGCCCACAAAAGGTCTGCTATGAGTAAAACATCTTACCTATTATGGCATAGGCGTCTTGGTCATATTTCTAGAGAAAGAATTGAACGATTAATAAAGGAAAATATTTTACCTGTTCTTGATCCAAAAGATTTTGAAACTTGTGTGGATTGTGTTAAGGGTAAAATAACCAAGGTTAAGAAAAAGGGTTCACTAGGAGCTCTGAACTCTTAGAAATAATTCATAATGATATTAGTGGACCTTATATACCTACTTTGACCAATCATAAGTATTTTATTACTTTTATTGATGACTTTTCAAGGTACTGTTATATATATCTTTTTAAAAGAAAAATCTGAAGCACTTGATAAGTTTAAAATTTACAAGATTGAAGTTGAAAAACAGCTTGGGAAGTCCATTAAGATAGTGAGGTCTGACCGTGGTGGTGAGTACTATGGAAAATATGATGAGTTTGGTCAATGTATGGGGCCTTTTGCTTTATTTTTGCAAGAATGTGGGATAGTAGCACAATATACCATGCCAGGTACTCCTGAGCATAATGGTGTGGCTGAAAGACGAAATCGTACTCTCATGGAAATGGTTGGAAGTATGATGTCAAGGACTAGCCTACTTGAGTCTCTTTGGGGTGAAGCCTTAAAAACAGCTAGTTATATCCCGAATAGAGTTCCTACAAAATCTGTCTTGAAAACCCCCTTTGAACTATGGACAACCCGAAAACCTAGCTTGAACCATTTTCACATTTGGGGATGTCCAGCTGAAGTTCGTATTTATTCATCCATAGAAAAGAAAACTGATCCTAAAACTATCAGTTGTTTGTTTATAGGCTATCCTGATCACTCTAAAGGTTTTAGATTTTTCTGTCCTGGGCGTGGCACTAGAATCGTTGAGTCTATTAATGCGAAATTTCTTGAGCATGATGTTTGTGATTGTGATTGTTCATGTGGTAAGGAAATTGTATTGAAAGAGAAGGAAGTCATTGTCCTTGTACCTGTTATACATGAAAAGGTGGTAAACCAACCTATTTATGAGGGGGAGAATCAAGGGAACAATGACGTAGATCCCATAGTTCCTGAACAAAATGTACACAATGAACCACTCCGTAGGTCACAAAGAGAAAAAAGGTCTGCCATCTCTGATGATTTTATCGTGTATGTGATTGAAAATTTTAGCGATACTGGAGAGCTGACTGATCCTTTATCATATGCTCAAGCTATTTCCTCTCCATTTGTTAATAATGGCGTGAGGCAATGAAAGATGAAATGCGCTCCATGAAACACAATGGAGTGTGGGAGTTAGTTGAATTGCTTGAAGGTTTTAGACCTATTGGTTGCAAATGAGTGTTTAAAACTAAAAGAGACTCTAAGGGAAACATAGATCGTTATAAAGCAAGGTTGGTTGCTAAGGGTTACACTCAGAAAGAAGGTACTGATTATAAAGAAACATTTTCTCGTGTTCCATCCAAAGATGCATTTAGAATTATGATGGCTCTTGTGGCTCATTTTGATTTAGAATTGCACCAGATGGATGTTAAAACTGCTTTCCTGAATGGGAGTCTACTTGAAGAAGTTTACATGGTTCAACCTGAAGGATTTAAAGAAGCTGGTAAAGAACATCTAGTGTGCAAGCTTAACAAATCCATATATGGGCTTAAATAAGCCTCCAGGCGGTGGTACTTGAAATTTGATGAAATTATTACAAAA